AATAGAAATGAGATGAACAATTAAAGGGCTAAAAGTTAAACGTTCAGCAGCATTTAATGCCCGATAATGTGCAATAGGTGCAGAGTTCGGTTTGTGGATCAAAGGTTCAACAGTCTGATGGCAGTGGGGAAGAAGCTGTTGCAGAACCTGGTGGATCTGCAGCGGATGCTGCAGAACCTCTTCCCAGAGGGCAGCAGGGACAACAGTCCATGGTGGGGGTGTGAGGGGTCTTTGATGATATTATGGGCTCGGGACACACAGCGCTGTGATGAAATGTCCTTAATGGAGGGAAGAGGAGCCCCGATGATTCCTTCTGCTGTCCTCACCACCCTCCTCACGTTCTTCCAGTCGGAGGCTCTGCAGCCTCCACACCACAGAGAGAGACAGCTGGTCAGAACGCTCTCTATGGTGCTTCTGTAGAAAGTTGTGAGGATGGGCGGGGGCAGGCAGACTTTTATCCTAGTTAGATAAAAGTCCTCTTGTAATCCCTGGTTATCCTCTGTTGCCCCCTACTGCCCCTCTCATTTTCCCTTAGCTCCCTTCTAGCTACTTCTGTCCACACCTGCTCCCAATTATTTGATTACGCCATTTCTGGTTCTGTTTGGCATTCATACTCATCTTCTGCTGGATTCTCTTTAATCCCTCCTGAAGTTCTTGGTTACCCTTTGTTCTTGTTTGCGTTCCCTGTTTATCTATTTCTGGATTTATGCTTCTGTTGCCACCAACCTCAGCAATAAATCTGCAAGAAACCATCTCTGCCTCCGTCTCTACATTTGGGTCCTCTACAAAACTCCATTCACCCTTACATGTAGATGGCTTAGAACCTCATCTTTCTTTTAGAGATGCTCTCAAATTGTCTGTAGAAAACACAGTCCAATCATTTATGAAACGGAACCGCACTGGTTCCATTTGTGTAACAATCTTTGAAGATTATCTTTAAAAATCTCTTCATGCAATAAAAGCCCTTTATTTGCCATCTTTGAAAATTAGGCCCTTAATTAATTACTAATAATTACTTACAAGTCAAATATAAATTGGTTTTCTTTTAAACCTGCAATAAGATGCAAGAACCTGATGGGTCATGTTTTATTTTTTGGTGCAATGACTCCAAGTACCAGCAGAAGATAAAATATTAGCTTATTATTTAAGAAACCTTTGATTGACTGACATCAGACAATAATTTGGCCCTTAAAAGCCATCATAGTTTATCATGTGGCTCTTTGGGAAATTAACTGCCCATCCCTGGTTTACAGTAGGCAGGAATAATGGAACCATGTGGGTTCAGATGGAGGTACAAACTGCCCCGCAGCTGAGATGATGCATCTAAAGGATGCAGGTGCATCATGGATTGCTGTCCTTCTTCCCTGTATCCTCTGTTATTGGAGAGTTGTCTTAACAGCTGGATGAATTCCAGTCCCCCTTTTTTATTTTAAATCCTGTAACCTGACAAACTACTCCGATTTATTATTCATCGTAGCAGGAGGTTGATGATGAAATAATTGGTATTCTGCATTCTTTCTCCTGCAAACAGACCTATAGATCTGTGTCCATAGGTTGAAACCCGATCAAAGTCCACCAGTTCATTTGCAATGCTAATCTCTCCCACCAACAAACAATTGTGCTAAAGGGCTGTTTAAATGAACCTCTTTCAGAGCCAGCATAATGTCCCTTTTGTATGTTTAAGAGACATAATGGAGAGGGGGGGGTGGGTCAGTGGAGAAAGCACTGCCCTCTGTTATTAACTCATTAGACCTCAATGCTTTGATTCACAGCCACTGTCTGACCTTCCCTTTCTGAGGAAATGAGCTGAGCAACGTCACAAAGGTCTACAGAGGCAGAGCATTCCAGCTCCTCTTCAGCCAAATTAACACGCCATTAGAAAATAAAGCATATAATTAAAGATAACTCATCACAAGACGACTAATGTACGTGTTTACAGAAAAAGACGACAGCAACATAGCAGAAACTAACAATGCAGGCAGATAAACATGACTGCTCTGTTTTCCTGCTGAACCTAGAACGGCTCATTCAGTGAAGGACATTGAGTAACGCAGGTAGAGGTTCCAACTGGATAATTAACAGATTCCTTCCCTTTATAATTGGAATCAGTCTGGCTCATTCCTGGGGAAAGGGGCAGAAAATCGAATCAGTGTTGTGAGCACAGAAATTACAGCCATTCTCTTCCTTAATTAGATGTCTTTGCTGCAACATAACCACGGGCAACCACGCTGGCGTGTCGCACTCAACATATGGTCGCTATCTATACATGCATCTCATGTTCGACGCTGCGTTCTTTTAGATATGTGCCGTCTGAAGCCGTGAGGCTCGTTCTGACTGTTTTTTGTTTGTTTTGGGGTTTTTTTTGCACCTGCTGGCACCTTGTTCTCCCCTCAAAGTAAAAAAAAAAAGCTCCTATCTCACTTTACCGATATAAGAGGTCTGCTTTTTAGGTTCCTTAACTGCCTGGAAATGGATGTGGGTCAATTAAATTTGAATTAAGTTTGCTAAAGTTGGGGAAATTATAAAAAAAAAAAAGCGTATAAATGAAATATTTGTACTTTCTGATGTATTTAAAACCAAGTTGGATAGGCCTGTGCTGAATATCAAAGAAACTGAATTTTTTGTGGATTCATTGAGCAGAAAGCATCCTGCTGAAAGCAAATTAAAAGAATCGGAGGAAAATGTTGAGGATATTATCATGTCATTCCAGATGGTCATTTGGATGGCAACAAATGGTCCACTGAGCAAGTCCCACTGAGATTAAAATATTAAGCATGCATTTACAAATCTCTCCTGGCACAAAAACAAAAATGAAATTAAGGAGTTTCACCATGCGAGAACAATGAGCAGTTGACTAATGGCTCGTTCACTTACTTAATCACAGCCCAGGTAGCCGGTCGGCTGGGGCGGCGGCGGTATTTGCATGCAAATGCTGTAGCTGAGAGCTGGGTGTGCAACGCTCTGAGGCGGGGTTGTAGGCCTCGTGGGGGTGACACAAAAGCTCAGCGGTGACAAGTCGGTCCAATCTTTGGGGCTGCATACAGGGACACAATATCCTGGTTCTTAGATGTTCCACACCCCTGCCTTAAACCCCCGCTGCGCTTGTGTCAGGGTTTGTGTGGATGTGCGAACAAGAAGGGCTTTGTGTGTATCCGTATGAGGCCAAATTTTCAGTGGAGCTGCTGCAATGTCCTTTTCATCTCTGCCAGCGTGCAAACGGACAAATTCTTCTCCCCAATGAAACATTTCTGCATCCGAGAGAGAGAGAAACACAAAGAGTAAACCGTTATGAGTCCCAGATTGTTTTGCACCTTTTCATGTACTTGCATGATGATGATGATGACTGCGAATGTATTTCACCTGTTTCCCTGATGCCCTTCGCTTTTTCTCTCCCCGTCAGGAGGTGATGCAGATGGAGAGGCAGCTCGGGGGACGGCTGATTGACGAGCCCCACGTCCTGCTTTTCAAAGACAGCTACCACAACTTGCGCCTGTCCATCCACGACATGCCCCAGGCGCACTGGAGGAGCAAGCTGCTCGCTGGCTACCAGGTATGTTGGATGGTGATGGGGGGGTCGGGGATCAGGGGTCAGTCTGGATGAGTGCAGAAGAAGAGAAATGTGATACAAGCCCCCGCCTGGATCTGTCAAATTAGTGTATCAGCTTTTATTGGACTTTCTTTCCTGATGTTTTTGAATTTCAATGATAAATATTATTCAGAAGCAGCTTATTGTTATTAATGAGGGCTCATGGTCCGCTATTCAGTTTGAAACTGCGTTTTAATCTTATTTCAGACTTTTGATTAAAGATCTTTTAGACCAACTTATATATTATTGCTTTAAAGAATCACAAAAGGGTATTTTTAGTTTATTCCTGCAAGTACTGCATTTATTAATCGTATCGGAGTCTGTTTGTGTTTTTATTGTGTGTATATGAGGGCTGTGTGCTCTAACCCAAAGGTGCAATCTTATTGATTAAACTAGCTGCTGCTTTCAAAGGGAGCTGGGATGAAATATGGAGCAGAATGTAAATAGTTTGGATGCTCTCTCTCCTCCGCTGCTCTCTTTTACCTGCACAGCCAGCAACCTTGCAACCGTGTGACGGCAACACAAGGGCTATTCAAAGTGGGCTAGAAAATGTTCTGGCTGTAACTGTGTAAGCACTGAGCACCGGGTCCCCAAAGAGCGTGCAGGCTGTGCCAAGCAAGCAGGGGCTGCAACAATGCACCCAGAGCAGAGGCTTATTTCTCTGGACTGTGCCTGTTCATTTGGAAGTGTTGCCCCCCCCCCCACCTCTCAGCAGCACAGTCAGAAAAACCATTGGTCTCCCCAGAGCCGCTTGAAGACGTTAGCGATTTTCACCCACCGCCATCTGATGTTCTTGACTAGGTAACAGTGCCCCCGATTGGTCAGCAGCGTGCACTGCAGGCCCTCTGGTCTCCAACTGAGATCTTGTTAGTACTGGAGCTCAGGAAGGTGGAAAGGTTTCTTTTTCTCGAAGCCTTCTCCTTCCAGTATTACCACCCTGCTTCTCCTGGGTGATGCAAATGAGGCATGAATATGAAGCAACAGAAATAAAGATGTTGAAATTGTCGGTCTTGATAAATTCATTGAAAACATTGGATTGTAGCAGAACCAGGACTCTCTGTTACGGATACATCTGTATATTTCTTTGCCCCTTGGCGGACTTTGTGCTCAGCATCACTTATAGCTGTGCAGCTGCAGAAAAATGGATAAAAATAAAGAAAATAAACTCAAGCTGATCATTTAATCTTGGAAAGCTCCTCATTTGACTTTTTCTTTAATCCTCAGTCAGTTATATTTCACTTCTGTTAAAGATCCTATTTGTCAGTAAAAGCACATTTATCCCCTTCCACTATCTGTACCATTCTTACCAAATGATCAGAGTTTATTTCTGTCTGTAATTAATGATGATTTCAGCGTATCACAGGCAGGCGGTCCTGTTGTGGCGTGTTTTCAGACACGCAGCTCTGACTGTGCCATTATGATGTTTTTTTTCTGCAGGAGATCCCGTTCTACCACATCTGGAACGGTTCCCAGCGGTACCTTCACTGCACGTTCACTCTGGAGCGGCTCAGCCTCAGCACCTGCGAGCTCACCTGCCAGCTGTGCGTGTGGCAGGTGGAGGGGGAGGGACAGAGTTTTGCCCTCGACTTTAACATCGCCAAGGTAACGCTGGAAGCATGCAGTTATTGTAATCTAGAGTTCTGATTACTCTCAGGTTGTATTTTGTTTTTTAAATGCCGAGCAAAGGCAGAAATAAAGGCAGAGTTATGCATGTCGTTCTTTACTACTCTCTTACCAGGACACACGCGCTCTGGATTCTGAGTTTCTGTTAATGGACAGTAACGCCACAGCTCTGGCCGGGCCCAGCGCCTTTCAGATCCCGTACCTCATCAGACAGAAGATCTGCAGCAGCCTGGATGCACCCTGTCCAAACGGAGCAGACTGGAGGATGTTAGCACAAAGACTTAAACTTGAGAGGTAATTACAAACTTTACAATAACCTTTAGGATTGGCACAATGCAAAAGTGTCATACCCTATATCAATACATAGGGAAGTACTCAATACTCAACACCATTTTCACCATGAGGACAAAAAAAAGGGAAATAATTAAAGTGAAAACCATTAAAAACTCCCCTCTTCAATCTCAACATGCCTTTTCAACAGAAAAACACAAACGAGCGAAACAAATACCCCAAATATAAAACCATATGACAATATTGGATGGTTTTCTGAGGTGCTGTTCTAATAAAATGCAAATAATTCAGGAAGCTCAAATTTGCAATAGCAATAATATGCAAACTAATTAGTCGATATTTAAATAAAAAAACAGATCTGATCCTCCATCTGAGCTTTGGAGGGAGCAGAAACAGTGAGTTTAATCGATACGACTCATTTCAAGATATCCAAATGTATTTCTTAGGAGATATCTTTTGCCCGTTTTTTGGCGATTTTACTTTAAAACCACAAATTTGAACCTTTTTATTCAGGTTTATTGCTTGAAACCAACAAAGTTAATGAAAGCAAAGTGGAAGGAGAAAACTGTCTTAAAAACTATGAGAGGCATTCATATTCTGGCCTCTTTATTCTAAAAATACCTCTAAATAAATCCAGTGCAACCAACGACCTTCAGAATTAAAGCCAAATTCATTCTTCAAGTATTTTTTCTCTAATTAGACAAAATGATTTCCAAAACTAATTAGCATGTCAAATTCAAATCCTGTTAAACTGAAATAAGTTAATCAACTCAATACAATTCATACATGAATGATCACCAATGTTTATTGGAGGACATAAGTAAATAAAAATCACCATGGGAACCAAGGAGGAAAGGTACCAAACTTTGTGCATTGCAGACTTCTTCTCAGACCATCAGTCCAGCTACACGAAATAATCTGTAGACAGGGAAAGCTTCCCCACTTGTAAACACCACAAATGAGCTTTTGTGGAAGAGTTGCAAGAAAATCGCCTTTTTTAAAATAAAGGTTCAAACTTAGTTATATACTCAGTTATAAACAGTTTTTCATGTGTTTTTTGGACACAATGAGGGGAAGTTCAGGAGGCAGGGAAATCTCTGCATTAAAAAAAATAATACAGAAGTTGGAAAAATCATAGTTTCATGTTTTCCTCAATATTTGTAAAACTCTTCACCATCAATGAACGTGAAGTGCATCCATGTTCCCTCCAAAGTTCAGGTAAACAAGGTAATGCTTTAGCAAACTAATCCTCTTTCGACTCGGCTAACATTATAGGATTAATGCGGACCTGATGGATACAGCTATCATTCCTCCAAGAAAACATGACCCCTGTCTTCCCTTTTCCCTCAGAAACAGGTAAGCAGCTTAAAGTCTGGCACTAAACTTCTGGCTGCGACATCCTGCTTAACAGCTGTAATTGGAAAGGCTGCAAGCTAGCTGCCCATCAGCGACCAGAGGAGAAAAAAAAGGGAGAGATGGAATAGTTTTGAATCTGTGCCGACCTTAGTCTAATTTGTTCTCTCAGTTACTGTACTTTATCACCCAAGCATCTGTAACAGACATCGATTCCTTATCTGCAAATTTAATTTCTACTCGTAATGAAATCAAATAGGAGAACCTAATTTGTTCAATCAACTTTATTTACCCAGTTAATTCCTGGCTGGAATTGACGCACTACAGGTTTAATTAGCGATGTTCAGCTCAACGTAATCAATTCTCATTTAGGTCTAAGGAAGGAACAACTTCTTTGTTGTTTGATCTGTCCTTAACAACTTGTTTTCCTGAAAAGGCAGCAGCTGCTTGGCATTCTGTCATGCTGTATTTCTGTGTTTGTCTCCGACTGCGTAAAGCGTTCAGACCAAGCGGAACGGGACCGATCAATAAAACTTAAAATGCCAAGAACCTTTTATTTGATCTTTCTCTCCCAAGACAGAGCAAACGTCTGTTTCTGAGCCGCACAAGATAAGCCGGGGTTTCACACGCCGAGGTGCAGACATGTTGGACACCAGGCTCTGGATTTTTCTTATTTTAATTTGATTAATGGCACAGAGGCTCATTTCCAGTCTTTTTTTTTTTTTTTTTACCAACACTTGCCTTTGTTGTTTTGAGGAAGAGCTGTTTGTGCTATAAAATCCAGCTGGCTCGAAATGACACAGTGTTATCGGCACTGAGCGTACAGCCAAAGCAGTCATGTTTATATCCATCACCCAATGCTCCAGTAGGCAGACAGCAGACACAAGGAAATAACAGACTCTCTGGCTTTTCTATTGTCTGTTTCTTCTTTTACAAAAAAGAAAGAAAAAAAAAAACACCCCAGAGTGTGTGTTGCACCTCTAATGCCATACGTTCAAACTCTGGACATTTGGGAAAAAGAAAAAAAAAGCTATTAAATCAAACAAGCATCTTCAGCTACTGCAGGGATCAGGTCCCACACGACATCAAAACTAGAGCCGGCAGGGGCCACCGCTTTGTTGTCATTGATTGGGTTTGATCGAGGAAGGTGCTACACCTAAGATAGGAAAGGTCACTTCCGACTTAACTGTCAAAAGTCTATATAGGATTTAGTGCATGAGGTTTGAGGGCAATTTTAGCATCAAATGAAGAGCAATGAAGGCTCTGAAGTCACAGATGTGGATAAAGTGGCGTAAAAAGACTTAAAACCAATCCACTTTTTCTGCAGGATCATTTTTTCAAACTGTTAAAAATAAGAAAGAAAAACAACCTTTAATTTCATACTTTAAGAAGAAAAAAAGATGAAATTACTATTTTAAAAACCATGTGTGCACCTGGTAAGTATATCAGCTTTGCAGGCTGTTAAGTTCAAACCGTGTTTTTATACACATAAACCTTTAGTTCTGGAGCAGCAAACGTGTGGCTCCTCTCGCCGTCTGGGTGACCATCTGTCAAAGTTATCAGTTTAATGCAGTTTATAGATTTATTTCTTAAATCTTTAATAAATGTCAACTCCCACCTCTGTTCCAATGTTTTTCAGCAAAGATGCTTTAAAAATAATGTTCATTCAGCTCATTTGCAGTTATTTGAAAAAAGAAACCATTAACATAGTTAAACCAGGAGGTTTTTTTTCTTATGATACAAATCATGTTTGCTTGGTGACAGAGAGGACGCTGTATCCCCGACCCGAACATTTGCAGCCTCCACTACTCCTCTTTAGGTGATCAACATGTGTTCATGTTAGAACAGAGCAGCCAACATTAGTAACAGACTTTACTTTACTGCATATGTATTTAGTTCCAATGCACAACCCGCTCAACAGAAGCTTGTTTACAAACCAGAAACTTGTGCATGTGTAATTTTAAATAAAACATCTTAGTTCCTCGTTCAACAGAGCAACTAGATTTGAACAGCCAGAAATTGTTTACTTATTAAGGAAAAGTCCGGAATATTCAGAATTCAAACTTCTGAAAGTACACAAATACGAAATTATTATACTGTTCAATAAATGATAACTGTTTTAATTAAGATGGATTTCATGTGAATGTGCTTTACTGGAGGCATCCATGTTTGTCAAAGAACACTACTGCCACCTACTGGTTTGTCACGTCACGGTGCGGTAGCGGCTGTTGATCAAGTCCCAGTGCTGTATCTGGTGTTTGTCACAACGAGCTATTATCCAAGTCATCTTGAAAACATTCTTCTTAAAAATGTTGGCTACATATTACGGGTTTTTTCTCTGGCCAGAAGTTCAATGGCAAATCCTCCCTCTTCAAGTTGGCAATCCTTGGAGGATCAGGAATAGGATAGGTGAATTAACTAATGTTTTTTTGTTTTTTCCCCGATGTATTCCAACATCCAGCTGCCATGCACGTGGGCATTGTCAGTTTCACTATAGCTCTGGTGAATTTCAATGGAAGTCTTCAATAATTGTTGTTGATTGCAGATGTGTCTAGTAGTTCCCATTGATTTTGCTTGTAAAGCGGAGAGAATGGCGCTAGGCTTACCGCACCGTGACGTCACTGCTGGAAGATGGCAGGAGGGAAGGGTTACTGTAAAATTTTATTTTTATTTTTCTACTGATTAACGCAAAATTTATGAATTCACTGTGAATGTATCAGTTTTAAGTATAGATAATGATCCATTGATTATTCTTTGCTGACTGGAAAATCATTGCTAAAGTAAAAAGTAAAGCACAATCAAACTACTGAAGAAGTATATTTTGTTGATAGCGGCTCAAGTGTAAGTAAATGTACCTCTGGTGGTCATGAAGTCAGGGAAGGCAAAACTAAAATTGTATATAGTGTATGAAATAAGAAACCTGCAAACTAATTAGCTGATATTTAAAAAAAAAAACATATCTGATTCTCCATCTGAGCTTTGGAGGGAAAAACTAGCCCCACCCACCAGCGGCCAAAATAATTTTCCCCTGCGAGTGGTCTAGCCTCGATCAATTCCTCAGGCCCTACAACTGGTGGACCAATTACAACGCAGACATGTGTTTTGAAGTTTATGATGCAAAGCGGGCAGGTTTTGAGGGCGGGACGACAAAGCTGCGCGACGCTGGAGAAAGCAAAAGAAGGAAGATGGCAACAACTATCGAACAGTTTTCGTTTGACTCAGCTTTGAAATCAGTTTCGGAAGGATTAGACTTGGGGTTTTCGTTAAAACCTGAGCAGGAAGAGGCTCTACTTCTTGCGCTCCTTGAGTTATTTACTGTCCCAAGTAGGTGCTTCGACCAGAGACTAATTTCGCACACTGAAATTAGGACCGGCCCACCGGGCAAATACCAAGTATCACAGATTACCAGTCCAAGCCTGTACCAAACACTGGTGAGGGCAGCATCACATGTCCCTGGGATTAGGTTCTGGGACTTACTTGAAAAAGTTCAGTTTAGGCAACTGGATGTGAAGTTAAACTTTTATAAACTTGGTCATGACCTGGATGGCTGAGAATCTTCTCTGATATGTTCTGGGAGTATTTTGGAGAGTCGTGGTGCAGCAGTGAAACTGCATTTTCCACCAATCACCAAGGTTAAAGGCATGACAAATGTCCACCAAGGTTTCTCCCTTGTGGCTGACTTTCACCCAAAGACTCATAAAACTAATTTCTTTTAATGATTTTATAACTCAACCTTTTGCAACAGACGGTTGCAAACAGACAATTTTGAAAATCTACAAATACATGTCTACTTTTTGATATAGTTTAAATGCAGGGGTGCCAAAAAAATGTCTCGCTACCTGGTAAAGGTTTCAATTAACAATCAGGTCTGACTGAAAACTTTAAATTTGTTTGTGTTTGTGATGGAGGGACAGAAAATCAGCGTTTATTTTCTTTAATTGTTAATTATCACTTTCTGTGTTTGTGAAGCACCGAGTAATTATTATCTATAAATTATACTTTATAGATCAAATGTTATTTATTTGCTTATTAAAAGCTGCTTGAATCTTCTAATTAGTAAACTAAAAGCAGGACAGAAACTACTTTAGTTAGATGTGTTAACAATGGAGGATTAGTGGTACCATTTGGGTAAAACAGCTTCTTTTCTTTCCCGATTGTTAGTTTTTTTTTTTTCAAAATCGTCTGAATTTGAGAAAATGCAGCAGGAGTAAAAGATTAAGTGATTTTAAGGCAAACCAATTTGTCCACATCTGCTACTTTGGATTTCATTGCAGCTTCAGTAGGTAGAACTGGTTGGTTTGTTGTGCTGTGATGCAGAACAAAAGCTGACACTGACGGCGCTACAAAAGCAGCAGCGGCACAAGAAAATATCAGCTGAAAAGACTCTTCAGCAGGAGAGAAAATGCAAAGCTGTTTTTTTTTCTTCTGATCTCTCATTATCCTCTCACTCTCATCTCCTTTTCTCCGCAGACACATGAGTTTCTTTGCATCCAAAGCGAGCCCGACCTCTGTGATCCTGGACCTGTGGGAGGCGCAGCACTTCCACAGCGGCAACATCAACCAGCTGGCCACGGTCATGGCTGACATCGGCAAACAGGAGGCCATGATATTCCTGGTCTCTGATGGAGAGTGCTAACCCAGAAATGGAGAGAGAAAGAGCGAGAGAAAGAGACTGGTGCAGAATACAACAAACATGCAGACATAACACAACAAAGAGCAGCGCTCTCCCAATGGGTCTCTTCTTTATTTTTAGAAGATAGTGAAAGGTTTAAGTAGGATTGAGTCCTTTTATTCACTCCCAAAACTGTAAAAGCCTTTAAACGACAGATTTCATTAGGAAGAAGGACTCCTCATCAGAGTCTTAAGATCTTTTAGACATAATATCAGTCACGCTTTTTGTTCAGCAGGCTAAGAAGGAGCAGTATGCAAATGCAAACGTTCTAACTTACAGCTGATGTTGCAAATTTTTCTCTTTTTTTTTTTACTTGGTTTCAAAAACCTGCGATACAACCAGAATAACAAAGAGGACGTCAGTCAGTTCAGGTGAAATATGCAAATTGGCAGGTGAGCATGACATTATCTCAGACACATTGTCCTACGTGTGAAAGATCACGATGGCGTGTAGCACCACCTGCACGTTGCAGGTTGAAAAGCAGATTGTATGCCCCAAAAAAATCCAGTCTCATAATGGTCTGTGTGCTTTTTTTTCTTTTTAGTCAAGCCGGTATCAGTACTGTGAATGTAACATCTTGACATCTTGATTCTGAGGGATGCTTCACATCTTTTTCTGCTTTAAAATAAGTACATGTGTTTGGTGTTTGGAACCTTTCTTCTTCTTCAGAAGAGGAGTCAGTTTTAGTGTCTTTAATCTGACATCCACATTTCAGTTGATTTTGTTTCATGTTGTGCAGTTTATTACTCTGCGTTCATATTTAGTTTTGTTTTTTTTGTGCGTTTTCATATTTCACAGCTAATGAAGGAGCCATAGCGCCAAAAAGGCGTTCCAGCTGCATTTTATGTGAGCAGAAAATGTTGTCAAAAGTGACATTTCCCCCCCTTTAATTACATTCATTCTCCGGCGTGCGAACGTGTCCAAAAAGGGTTATTAAACTACATGAATAATGTAGCGCACTTTGCCACAGAAAATTCAAAAACAAATTCCTCAAAATCGTCACAAGATTAGTCACGTCGAAAGGGTAATTGTGCAGCTTTGTTTATGTTATTTATAAAGCAATTTAGTTGGGAATTCAATATTTGCCGTGCGGCAAACGGTATTTCCACATCAGAGAGGAGCCGTCTCTCAGATAAAGTTGAAAAAGACACGTTTTTTTTGTTGTTTTCTAAGCGAAGCTGGGAAGTGGGTGTTTGCTCTTCTTACTTTACCTTCATTTCCACCATGATTTCTTAGTAATGGATGTGTCGAATCAGGCAACATAAACAGTCTGATGAAAACCCCACAGGTTCAGCAGGGCACCTCGCCAAACGTTTAGAGTAACCCCAAACTAGCCATAGTTTTGTCTGCCTCAGGGTTGCATGTGAAGCTGTGTGTTCAGAGGTAGAGAGAAAGGCCCTCTCTCCATCCTACCATCAATGTTTCACTTTTCAACTTCAACTCATTTATTTATGATTGTCAGATATTTGGAATGTACCTTTAAGTTTCTTTCAGTGGGGAAAAGCATCAGTTTTTTTCATCCAAAGTTGTTTTTGATGGAAACTTCGATCTTTCCTTCCTGTTTCTGAACACTTTAAACCCCTTTTTATATAAAGATGCCATAAGAATCCAATGTAAGCTTTTTAAAAACCCTTGGATTATTCCCACAAAGAAAAGAGATGATAACCCCCAATCATCGCCACATTGTAATTTGTAAATAGTTTTTCTATACCAGCCACGTGCTGTCACTTTGCATACTGTATATCAGCAGATTGGTAACCAAAGTTTTAGAAATATCATTTGAGTCCATCCACCGTATCCTCATTTTGTATCCATCAAACCAGTTTCAGAATCATTCGTTTAGTGTCTTTTATTTCCCCCTCATTTAGTTATTTTGTTCGTGCAAGTTGATGCATTATTTGATCACTTTGTAAACAAATGTAAATTATATTTTAAAATGAAGCCAAAAAAAAAAGAAAAAAAAAAGCAACACTTAACTGGCGCAGCATTTGTCAAGTCTAAACCGTGACGTGTTTGCCTATATCCTGTTCTTTGGCGATCTAGCAGTGATTTGCAGTGTTAAGGGTTTAGAGGCCGTTTTCACAGGAAGTTTCTCTGTTTGTTCTCATTCTGGATCGTTTTAGTTTCGCAACTCGGAAGCATTTATAAACGCAAAGGTGGAAGGAAGCAGTCGGCGAGGTTAATCGCAGGAGGACTTGTGTTCTGGGGGGGGGTGAACTCAGACTGTAGCGCGGGAAAATTTGAACACCCTCCTCGTCGTCCTGGATGCGTTGAGCAGTAATGTAGTTCGCCAGCCGACAGGATTTTCAGCGTCTGTCTCTGCAGCACATCTGCAGCTGTAGTGTGATGAGCACCGGTTTCTTTCTGCTGAAATCTCCAACTGATAGCTTTGAGTAAGACTCCTGTCTGTAACACAGCTACTTTGTTCGACGGTTCATGCTGTTTGTTCACCTCTGTGTTGCATCTTAGCACCGTACTCTTTGTCACTCATTACTATTTGGTGTGGAGGACGTGCGCATATTTAAGTATGTGTGTGTTGTGCGTGCGTGTGTGTGCGTGCGTGCGTGTGCAGACCTCCCTGTCACTGACTGAACTGTTTTCTTTTTGAACTAAGAACAATAGACTTCTGTATTTGTGAAAGGTTTTCTATTTAGTTCCTTGGTTCAATGTTCCTTGCCTTTCTGCAAGTCAAAAATGCTGTATTTATTACATGCCACAGCGCTTATGCAATTGTATAATCCTTCTATTGTTTTCTTTGTTTGGATTTTTTTTTGTTTTGTTTTTTAAGAAAAAAAGAAAAAAAACCTTTTGTGTTCCTTATCGTCAGTGTAAACTGTTGTCAAACCTTTTGTGGCAGTGGAAAAAACTTCTGCTAAGGGAGATTTTTCTCTACTTTTTGGACAATGTTATGGATTTGTGGGTAGAATTTTGGAAATTCGTTTCTAAGTGCTTTCAAGTATTTACTTGGCCTTATGTATATATATCTATCTATGACATTTCAGAATCCTATGTATAGTAATTCAATCGGAAATTGTTGTAAATAAATTATATATTGTTACATCAAGGGCTGGATTCTTTGCGTGAAAAATGAAATTGATGAGAAAAAGGGTGATCTCTTAAAAAAGAAACTATCCTCAAACTAATTTTCTAAATATTCTGCTTAATTTTCATGTTTGTTTAAACACCAGCACAATATTTAGCCTAAATTAAAAAAAGTAAGAGGGGCCCCTTCACCAAAATCAAGACCTAAACTAACTTAAAGACTCATTATTTAAGATTCCCAAACGTATGTCCACTTTGGTTCTCAATACAGTTTTACTCCACCACACCCAACAGTTGAACATAGAAAAGGGTTAGGTTTAAAATGGAAGCTTTATTCAAATAAACAGATAAAAGATGCTTTTAAATGCTTTTATTTAATACCTCCTCAAATTGGAAATTTAATTTTTTATCATGCCGTTCCTGTAATTACATAGGGCCTCCCCACAGGTGGCGCATCCCAAATTTTGGGATTCACCTAGTTGTCAGCAAAAACAGCAGCAGATGCATTAAAATGTTTTTGTCTTGTTTTGTTTTGTTTTCTACTCATGGAAATATTCTGAAAATATGTTTTTCATTACTTGTCTTTGGTCCTAGATTTCAAAGCATCAAAGCTAATCTTTTCCCAGTAAGGAAAGAAGGAACTGGATATAGTAACATCTGATGATGAAGCTGTGAGCTGCAGAAAACCAAACAACCATCAGTGTCCAGCTGCTGTTTTCGTCTTTGCTAATGAATGTCTGGTACAAAATAGCAGCAGGTCAAACTCAACAATTGGAAAAAAACAGATTTCTAATTCATTTTATCCCAGAAAATAAAGTCAAAGCTGCAAAAAAATATATAAAATAAATAAAAAATAACTAAACCCATCACTTATATTCTGGATGAAGTGAAAAATTTAAGAGTAAAGACCCCTCCAATGCCCGAACACTTTAATGGAACTTTTCAATCAACATTTCTAGTATTTTTTGTAATTTTTATAAATAAGTCAGTGACATGAAGGATCCACGTTGCAAAGAGCATTTGATAGAAAATCTTATAGATGTCTGGTACCAACTTTGACATGGATCTTTGTAAAATCTGATAAAATCCACACAGACTTCTTTAAACCACACTTTTTTAATTTGAACAGTATTACCAGCAGCAGGTTGCTCACATTTAAATTTTCATATTAATCTCAGTCGTTAGACGTGAAGAGATGGCAGAATCTTAATTGATTGCAACATGACGCAAAATAAAACCCCAGAACATTATGTATTTTTATGATGATCCCCATCATTCATTCAAACATTAGCAAAATAAACTTAAAAAATGGGAAGCATTAAATACATAGATATGGTATGTAAACAAACCGCCATCTACGATTTTTGATTAATGGTTTATTAGATAAAAATTAGTTCCATTCAATTAATTGATGTTATTTCTTTAAGTGTTGTAATATTACCCCCGTCCACTAGAGGGGCGCCGCTGTTCATTCTAGGTGGAGGGTTACTAGCCATTGCAAGAGAAGTAGAGTCTGGATAATTTAAACTGTTTAATGGTGAAAACGCGGAATACATTTTATATATTCCTGTTTGGAAATATAAACAATTGATAAACTAAATATCCCCATTTAACTACAGTACCTGTTTAAAGCGACACAAATTATCTCCCAGCACTGAATGCTTGATAAAGCTGGTGAAGATTCTCGGTCATTCAGATCATAGTCATTCAAAAAAGTTAAAAAACAATCCACTGGACTTTGTTTCCAACTTTGAAGACGTTTCGCTTCCCATCCAGGAAGCTTTTTCAATTCAGAATTAGTGTTGACTTCAGAGATTTATGATTTTTGCAAATCCTAATCAAATGGCTGCAGTAGTCTAGTTGTAAAAGAAAAAAAATAAGAGGGGATGGTGGAAATTTCTTAATCCTAATGAATATAGTCTATTAACCTAAAGCACTATGCATGGTATGAGGTATGCCGGTCATTGACCTTGGCCAAGGCACCTTACAGTAGACCAAATTTCCCGCCATCAGCTTCATAATCATCGAGGCCACTTCTTTGATTTTATTTACTTTCTCTCAGGCTACTTGTAAGCACACAGCCCGCCAAATGTTGAAAGGGCAATATTATTGTCATTATTATTAAAATATAGCAGAAATGTTGCACATTCAGTAATAAAATGTCACAGGGGATGGTATGGGGGGGATGATTTTTTTTTTTAAGAGAGGGATGCCAAAGTCCCTCATCTCGAGAACTGTATGGCTGCTATCATAATCCTTATCGCCAGGCAGGAGACCAAGACATCTCAGCTGGTTAGCCAGGCCAACAATGACCCTAATGACTCCCCCCTTTCAGATGCATAGGCCAGTATCGGGTATCAACAAATCACCATTCCTAAGGGGCGGACCCGTTCTTCTGGTTCAATTTGCATGTTTTCTAAGACATAACAAAGCTACTCTATAATGGTTGGAACTCAACGCTAATTCTGACATTTTGAATTGAAAAAGCTTCCTGGATGGGAAGCGAAACATCTTCAGACTTTGAAAACAAAGTCCAGCAGATTGTTTTTTTTCTTTTTGGAATGCTTAATATACCACAAACAGCTATATCACAATCAACAGTCACAGAAATCAAGTGGTGAATAGTCTGACAGCATCAGAGCGACATACCTGGACTTTTATAGTTTTTG